GAATACATCAGAATACTTGAAGAGGTCATGCTGCCTTATGCTGAAGAGGAAATGCCCTTGAAATGGGTGTTCCAACAAGACAACGACCCCAAACACACCAGTAAACGTGCAACATCTTGGTTCCAGACCAACAAGATTGACGTTATTGAGTGGCCAGCCCAATTCCCGGATCTTAATCCAATAGAAAACTTGTGGGGTGACATCAAAAATGCAGTTTCTGAGGCAAAATTGTCAGGGCAGGAACGCTGGAATGGGCAGGCAGGCCTATGGTACGGTCACGCTGCGACTGACGACAGCCACTACCCACAGACCAGAGTCCCTCAGGGCGCGGAGTCTAAGCCCCAGGCTACCCTTCACCAGGGCCCCTGATGGTGGGGATGGACTTGACGCAGCCTGAGACCAGGTCGCGGCCCCCGAGTGACCCCAGCTGCGATAACGACTGCCGCCAATGGCGTACAGCTGGTGGGAGCTAGATGGGAACACGAGTAGAGTAGTCAGACAAGCCGGGTCAATAACAACAGAGCAGACAGTACTAGACGGTAGGCAAAGAATACTCAGGTCACGGGTCGGGTTCAGCAACGGGAGGTCAGATAAAGGGTTAACGCAGAGAGTAGTCTTGTCCAAGCCGAGTCGGTTACCAGGAGAGCAAAGGAAACAACACAAGAGCTTGCAACAGGGCAACACACAGGACACAAGTGCAGAGCACACTTGCAGACAGCAGGTTTAAATGTGCTCAACCACACCCTTCTGAGGAGGAGCCGCAGAAGCCTGAAGACATAAAGGTTCCCACCATGCTTTGCAGAAAACCAAGATGGATGCCAGCTCATGGAGATGCACAAGCTCTGAAGAAAGGTAGGACCTTGACAAAAATCAAGAAATAGAGAAGAACTGTGGAATGTAGTCCAATCATCCTGGGCTGGAATACCTCTTCACAGGTGCCAGACGTTGGTTGACTCCATGCAACACAGATGTACAGCAGTTCTCAGAAACAGTGGTTATACAACTAAATATTAATTAAGTGATTCAAAGGAAAGCAAAATCGTCAAACATTTTTCACTTTATATAGTGAATGTTTGAGTTTGTAAAGAAGAATACAAACACTGCTATTTTTTTGAACAGTCTAATATTCACTTTTCTTCATTTTTTTGTAGAGGAACACCACAAATTTGATATATTTTTCTTCATGTTTTGATTTGGAATAGAATGTGTAGTGTTCCCAATGCATTTGTGTGTATGGAAATAAAAACTATTAGAAGGATTTTGAGCTTTATTCACTTTTTTCAAACGCACTGCTATTATTTTGAACACAAATGTATATATACGTACACACACACACACACAGCCGGGTGCCCACACTAAAGGGAGGACAACTCCGCGGAAGTGGGTACCTGTCAAATTCAGGTACCCGCTCCCCCTCCCTCCCCAAAGGTCCGCAGTCTCTTGGTCATCTCCTGTGCTATGTCCGCAGTCTCTGTTCATCTCCTGTGCTATGTCCGCAGTCTCTGTTCATCTCCTGTGCTATGTCCGCAGTCTCTGTTCATCTCCTGTGCTATGTCCGCAGTCTCTGGTCATTTCCTGTACTATGTCTGCAGTCCAATGTTTCAGAATATTTTTTTTCTTAACAAACAAGAGTATAACTTGCGAGCCACTTATTACAATTTTTAAAAGGTGCGCTAACATACAACACATCCTCTTTATATGTGTAAATAATTCCAAAACAAATATAAAAATTATGCCGCTGGTCCAAACGCTCTCTCTGAGGAGACGGTTTTATCGCTGGACCAAGATCTGACCTTAAGCGAATTGCAGTGCGCGGTACGGCAGTTGAAAACGGGCAAAAGTCCGGGTCCTGACGGCTTGTCTGCGGCTTATTATAAATCCTTTCTGGACATTCTGAGTACTCCATTTCTTTCCGCTTTCAATACTCTTTCTCAGTCCCCTAGGCCACACCATAGGCTGTTGGAAGCACACATTTCCGTCATCCCCAAAAGCGGTAAAGATACCTCCCAGGTATCTAATTACAGACCCATCTCCCTGCTAAATGTGGATATTAAGTTGTTTGCAAAGATGCTTGCTAACCGACTTCTCCCTTTGCTCCCTTCCCTCATTGACTTGGATCAGGTGGGATTTATCCCTGGTAGAGAAGCTAGGGACAACACTATCAAGGCCCTTAATCTCCAACACTGGCTTTGCAAATCTAACTCTCCGGCCTTCTTCCTTTCATTGGATGCTGAGAAGGCCTTTGACAGGATTGCTTGGGATTATTGCAGGGATCACTGATGGCTTTGGGCCTGGGCGAGAAAATGATAAGCTTTATTATGACCCTATACTCGGGCCCTACAGCTCAAGTTTGGGTTAATGGACACTTATCGAACCCTTTCCGCCTGGGTAATGGCACTCGTCAGGGTTGCCCCCTATCCCCGCTTCTGTTCGTCATTTCCCTTGAACCTCTTTTGAGACAAATTCGCGCTAACCCAGATATTAAGGGGATCAGGATAGCAGACAAAGAATACAAACTTGCTGCTTATGCGGATGATATCCTCCTTTTTTTGGCTGACCCTCGCACCACCCTACCGAGTTTGCTGAAAGACTTTGCTTTTTTCCGCTTTTTGTCAAACTTGAAAATTAATTTTTCAAAGTCATACGCCCTCAACATAACCCTTCCCACTGATCTCGTCTCCTTCTGTGAGTCTCATTTTCCATTTCAGTGGGTGAGGGATGCCCTTCCATATCTTGGTGTACAACTTACTCGCAATCTGGACGACCTTTATGCCAAAAATTTCTTACCGGTTTTCAAAGTCATACAGGAAGACCTAAACAAGTGGCATCGCCCCTGCTTCTCTTGGTTTGGTAGGGCTGCCATTATTAAAATGAATATACTTCCGCGTCTCCTCTATCTCTTCCAAACTTTGCCAATTCAACTTCCATTGACATTCTTTGCTTCTTGCAAGAAACTAGGTTCCTTATTTTTATGGAATCACAAGCGTCCGCGGGTCTCGTTCTCTCAGCTGACTCGTCCCAAACTCAGCGGGGGCATTGGGCTCCCTGACCTACACCGCTATTACTGGGCGTGTCATCTTTCCCGCATAGTCGATTGGCGCATTCATTCTGCTTCCAAAGACTGGGTCCTTTTGGAGAAGGCTTTTTCGCCCACTCCCCTACCATCGATCCCTTGGCTATTGCCGAAACACACACCTCAAGTTCTCCTCTCCCATCCTTTGATAGTGTTAGGAATGGACTGGCCAGCAATGGTGGGACTCACCTGCCTTTTGATCTGCAGTACCAGGGCTGGCCAGCGGGTGTTCCCAGCAATCAGAGACTCAACTCTGCAGCCAGCTAACACCTGTAACTGATGATGCTGGGGTATTTAAGGGATGGCCAGACCCACAGACTCTGCCTTGGTGTTGTGTTTGTCCTGGGCCCTGTATCTGTCCTGCATCCTGTTTCTGTTCCTTTGCTGACTTCTCCTGCTCTGATCCTGGCTTGTGACCCTGACCATCCCTCTGTCTGACCCTCTGTACTATGCTGCTTGCTACCTGCTGAACCTGGCCTGTGACCCCGACCATTCTCCGCTTGCTCCCCCTGTACCTACCTGCCCAATTGATATTGACCCGGCCTGCCTGACGACGCTTGCTTGTATGTACTGTTATCTGTGGGTGGTTTGGGTTTGGTTTGTTTGCACTGTATTATGTTTTAGTATTGCACTGCGTTTATGTTTGTACTGTTAGTGTTAATAAATTATATTGTTTATAACATATCTGAGGTCTGCGTTTCCCTGCTTCAGTCACACACCTCTGGTCATACCTGGGAGCCCTGACATTACACCAAGGCCAATCCTGACCAGAAGTGGCTGCACAGGGAAGCCATCTTGGCTTGTTGATGGGAAGGATGGATCTTGATGAGGTTGAGTATTTATATCTGCTAGTGTTTGATGACAGGGAGTATGCTTATCAGACTCTGAAGGAGTATACCCGGGATGAATTGCTAGAATGTATACGGCTCGCTCATGTTCTAGTAGATCAGGGCACAGTGTTCTCTGAGGTGCAGCCATTGATTGAGGTTTGTGCAGAGTTGGTTTCATCTGGTTCCCCCGAATGCAGGGATGAATTTTTGCCACCATTTAGTGCAGACCAGGTAGAGTCCCTGGTGTGGTTATTAGAGGATGATGTGGGTTACTTTCTGGAGCGTTATTCCACATGTTCACCACAGACACTAAGAGATTGTATAAACGCAGTGCAGTCATTGACCAGACAGACTTTGTGTAAGCTCAGCTTTGTTCAACCCCTACTGCAGACATGGACAGATTTGTTGCACCCAGCCTCAGTCAGCTTACAAAGACCCAGTCCTGCTTCTAACTCTACTCCTGTATTCCCACCAGCTCCTCCAGTTACAGCCCAGTATACTTGGCTATCTACCGCATGTCAGTACCCTGTTCCCACTCGCTGCACCTATCCTGCCTTTAACCCTGTAAAAAAGCCCTCTGTAGCAACTGCTCCCTCTCCTGTTCCATCCTCCAGTTCTTCTCTGTCTCCAGCTGCTCCATTCGTTTGCAGACCTGCGTTTACTTGCAGTGCTCCAGTAGTTAAAACCAGAAAAAAGCGAAAATTCTTTCCAACCAATACCATCCTGCCAGTATCCAAACCGGTGAACCTGCCTTCCGTGGTTCAGACTGATGCCTGTACGCAGCCTGAAGCCTCTACTCGGCCTGATGCCTGTACTCGGCCTGATGCCTGTACTCGGCCTGATGCCTGTACTCGGCCTGATGCCTGTACTCGGCCTGATGCCTCTACTCGGCCTGATGCCTCTACTCGGCCTGATGCCTCTACTCGGCCTGAAGCCTCTACTCGGCCTAATGCCTCTACCCAGCATGATGAACTGATCCAGCCTGACGATCCTATTAGGCCAGTTGACTCGATGCCCGCTGTTGATCCAGATGATCCGGTACCTGATCCGGTGCCCGCTGTCGTGCCAATTGACTCAGAGCCCGCTGTCGTACCTGGTGACTTGGTGCCCACTGCCTTGCCAGATGACACGGTGCCCGCTGGCAAGCCAAATGACCTGATGCCTGGTGACCTAGTGTCCGCTGTCATACCTGATGACCCGATGCCCGCTGTCGAGCCAGACAATCCGGTACCTGATGACCCGGTGCCCACTGTCGGGCCTGTTGACTCGGAGACCACTGCCTTGCCAGATGACGCGGTGCCCGCTGTCGAGCCAAATGACCTGATGCCTGGTGACCCGATGCCCGCTGTCCAGCCAGACGATTCAATGTCTGCCCCAGTGCCCGCGGTCATGCCAGTTGACTCGGAGCCCACTGCCTTGCCAGATGACGCGGTGCTCGCTGTCGAGCCAAATGACTTGATGCCTGGTGACCCGATGCCCGCTGTCCAGTCAGACGATCCAATGTCTGACCCAGTGCCCGCGGTCATACCAGTTGACTCGGAGCCCACTGCCTTGCCAGATGACGCGGTGCCCGCGGTCGAGCCAAATGACCTGATGCCTGGTGACCCGATGCCCGCTGTCCGGTCAGACGATCCAATGTCTGACCCAGTGCCCGCGGTCATACCAGTTGACTCGGAGCCCACTGCCTTGCCAGATGACGTGGTGCCCGCTGTCGAGCCAAATGACCTGATGCCTGGTGACCCGATGCCCGCTGTCCAGCCAGACCATACAATGTCTGACCCAGTGCCTGCGGTCATACCAGTTGACTCGGAGCCCACTGTCGTGCCTGGTGACTCGGTGCCCGCCGCCCCGCCTGGGGGCCTGAGACCTGTCGCTCCGCCTGAGGGCCCGAGACCTGTCGCTCCGCCTGGGGGTCCGGCACCTGCCACTCCGCTTGAGGGCCCGAGACCTGTCGCTCCTCCTGGGGGTCCGGCGCCCGCCGCTCCGCCTGAGGGCCCGAGACCTGTCGCTCCACCTGGGGGTCCGGCGCCCGCCGCTCCGCCTGAGGGCCCGAGACCTGTCGCTCCATCTGGGGGTCCGGCGCCCGCGCTCCGCCTGAGGGCCCGAGACCTGTCGCTCCTCCTGGGGGTCCGGCGCCCGCCGCTCCGCCTGAGGGCCCGAGACCTGTCGCTCCCGCCTGGGGGTCCGGCGCCTGCCGCTCCGCCTGAGGGCCCGAGACCTGTCGCTCCACCTGGGGGTCCGGCGCCCGCCGCTCCGCCTGAGGGCCCGAGACCTGTCGCTCCATCTGGAGGTCCGGCGCCCGCCGCTCCGCCTGAGGGCCCGAGACCTGTCGCTCCGCCTGGGGGTCCGGCGCCCGCCGCTCCGCCTGAGGGCCCGAGACCTGTCGCTCCGCCTGGGGGTCCGGCGCCCGCCGCTCCGCCTGGGGGCACGATGCCTGTCGCCCCGCCTGGGGGCACGATGCCTGTCGCCCCGCCTGGGGGCACGATGCCTGTCGCCCCGCCTGGGGGCACGATGCCTGTCGCCCCGCCTGGGGGCCCGGTGCCTGTCGCCCCGCTGGGGGTCCGGCGCCTGCCGCTCCGCCTGAGGGCCCGAGACCTGTCGCTCCACCTGGGGGTCCGGCGCCCGCCGCTCCGCCTGAGGGCCCGAGACCTGTCGCTCCATCTGGAGGTCCGGCGCCCGCCGCTCCGCCTGAGGGCCCGAGACCTGTCGCTCCGCCTGGGGGTCCGGCGCCCGCCGCTCCGCCTGAGGGCCCGAGACCTGTCGCTCCGCCTGGGGGTCCGGCGCCCGCCGCTCCGCCTGGGGGCACGATGCCTGTCGCCCCGCCTGGGGGCACGATGCCTGTCGCCCCGCCTGGGGGCACGATGCCTGTCGCCCCGCCTGGGGGCCCGGTGCCTGCCGCTCCGCCCGGGGGCCCGGTGCCTGCCGCTCCGCCCGGGGGCCCGGTGCCTGCCGCTCCGCCCGGGGGCCCGGTGCCTGCCGCTCCGCCCGGGGGCCCGGTGCCTGCAGCCCCGCCCGGGGGCCCGGTGCCTGCCGCTCCGCCCGGGGGCCCGGTGCCTGCCGCTCCGCCCGGGGGCCCGGTGCCTGCAGCCCCGCCCGGGGGCACGGTGCCTGTCGCCCCGCCTGGGGGCCCGGTGCCTGCCGCTCCGCCCGGGGGCCCGGTGCCTGCTGCTCCGCCTGGTGGCCCGCTGCCTGCTGCTTCGCCTGGTAATCCGATGTGCCTCTGCCCGGAGTCCTGCCCGATGTGCCTCTGCCCGGAGTCCTGCCCGATGTGCCTCTGCCCGGAGTCCTGCCCGATGTGCCTCTGCCCGGTGTGCCTCTGCCCGGAGTCCTGCCCGATGTGCCTCTGCCCGGAGTCCTGCCCGATGTGCCTCTGCCCGATGTGCCTCTGCCCGGAGTCCTGCCCGATGTGCCTCTGCCCGGTGTGCCTCTGCCCGGTGTGCCTCTGCTCGATGTGCCTCTGCCCGGAGTCCAGCCCGGTGTGCCGCTGCCCGGAGTCCTGCCCGGTGTGCCAGTCTTTGATATCCCGCCAGTTGCCAGACCCGGGCGGTGGAACATTTTGCCCAGCTAGGACTTTTTGGAGCGTCCTGAGGCCGCTCCTTGAGGGGGGGGGTACTGTTAGGAATGGACTGGCCAGCAATGGTGGGACTCACCTGCCTTTTGATCTGCAGTACCAGGGCTGGCCAGCGGGTGTTCCCAGCAATCAGAGACTCAACTCTGCAGCCAGCTAACACCTGTAACTGATGATGCTGGGGTATTTAAGGGATGGCCAGACCCACAGACTCTGCCTTGGTGTTGTGTTTGTCCTGGGCCCTGTATCTGTCCTGCATCCTGTTTCTGTTCCTTTGCTGACTTCTCCTGCTCTGATCCTGGCTTGTGACCCTGACCATCCCTCTGTCTGACCCTCTGTACTATGCTGCTTGCTACCTGCTGAACCTGGCCTGTGACCCCGACCATTCTCCGCTTGCTCCCCCTGTACCTACCTGCCCAATTGATATTGACCCGGCCTGCCTGACGACGCTTGCTTGTATGTACTGTTATCTGTGGGTGGTTTGGTTTGGTTTGTTTGCACTGTATTATGTTTTAGTATTGCACTGCGTTTATGTTTGTACTGTTAGTGTTAATAAAATTATATTGTTTATAACATATCTGAGGTCTGCGTTTCCCTGCTTCAGTCACACACCTCTGGTCATACCTGGGAGCCCTGACAGATAGGTCCCACGTTAGAAGTTTTCCGTAAGGCCTGTAAAACGTCATCCGTTTCGGACTCTCCTAGTCCCTTGACGTCGATCCGCTTGAATCCAGATTTTCCCCCAGGGTTGCACAAGGATTTTTTATCAAATTACTGGCCATACGCTCAGATTCTAGTAAAACATTTTCTTCACTCCGGCAAGGTGAAAACATTACAGGAGCTGAAGGTTAGCTTGAATATCCGTGAATTCCCTCTCTGGGCCTTTCTTCAGATTAGACACTTCCTGCTTTTCCATAAATCCCGCCATAATTGGACTCGCCCTGTTACTCCATTTGAATCCTTATGCTCTCAATCCGAACCGCGGAAGCATTTGATCTCTGAGATTTATCCTCTCCTAGGGGACAGCAGGACTTGCACTTCTTTCCCCTCTTGCCGTGCGTGGAACAGAGACCTAAAGACGGATTTATCAGAGTCGGATTGGGACCGCATTTTTATGTACTCCCACTCCTGCTCGAGTAATGTTTAGACGCAGGAAAATGGCTTCAAATTAGCCACTAGATGGTATCGTACTCCCTCCAGAATTCATTGGTTTAACTCTTCTGCCCCTGACGTGTGCTGGAGATGTGGGACACCTGATGGCTCTTTCTTACATATTTGGTGGTCCTGTCCACTTATTCAACCATTCTGGCAGCAGGTCCACCGGTTGGTGACTTCAGTGACCACTCTGCCCATAGTTTTCTCTGCTGCTCAGCTATTGCTTTCATCATACCCCCATTCCTAGGAGTCAATATTTCAAGTCCCTAGCGATGCATATGATCAACGCAGCCAGACTCTGTCTTCCTGTGCTATGGGGCTCCACTCACCCCCCAACTATACGCGATTGGCTCAATCGAGTAGGCAAAGTGGCGGAGATGGAGGAACTGATTGCGACTGCACTTGATCTGCCAACTAAATACTCACATGTTTGGGCCTGCTGGACCCACTTTGTAACTACCCCTGAATTCGGATCTCTCATGGGTCGGGATACCTGATTGAGCTCAGCCCTACCTCTGGTTATGCCCTTGGTTCTCTCATAATCTGTGTCGTTATGACCTCTTTTCCGGTAATTTATATTTGCCTGCTTAGCTTTGGTGAGTGTTTAAATTCTTGACACTCTCATTTATGATCTCCAATAACACTGTTGACACAAACTTCGCAGCCCGGACCTTTCGCTTCCCTTGCTTCCCTTTTATTTTATTTTTTTTTGCCTCTTATCCCCCCTTCTCCCTCTCCCCTTACTCTTCCCCCCCCCTTTTTTTTTTTTTTTTTCTCTCTCCCCCTCTTTCTCTTCTCTCTCTCTACTATGACTCCCATTCTTTTCCTTTTCTTATCCTTTTCTTTCTTTCTATTCCCCTTTTTTCTTTTCTTTCTCGACAACCTCTTAGTCTTCGATCAGGCTTAGTCTTCATTTTATCCAGGATTACTTGGTATATGGTTAGCTTATCTCCTCTAGGATAGTCAATGGTACTCACGACATCTTCTCTTATACTGCGATGCTCACTTAGCCTCATGATAGCGTACTGCTTTTGGTTTAGGCTCTGAAGGTTCATTTCCTCCATGCTTAGGCCAGTACGTCAATATTCACTTGGTGGAAGTAAGCTGTTATTACCTTCTATATTGTACATTTTTGAACCTTGAGTACTACAGGCATATCTCTGCCGTAATTTGCCATGCTTATGTTATCCACAGTGTCGCACTCTACCATGTTGTTTCTTCCTGTATTTTGGTTTAAGCTGTGTCTATGACCTGATTGATGCTGCGTGTGCATTACTTTATATTTTCCTGTAACATGTTGTCACTTCTAAATAAACTTTTATGGAATAAAAAAAAATTATGCCGCGCTTCCTCCTCTTAGTGAAAAATATAAAAAAACTTTTCATTAAATTAACAAATGTTAATTCAGATTTCCCAAAAAAGTGTTTAACAAATGCAAATAATAAGTCTCTGTGAATACGTAGTGACAATTCCCAGTGATTCAGATCAATAAATATTTCCAGGTGACTTTCTTAGTGAGATAAAGATGTGCGCCCACCTCCAAGATAGCCTATAATAGGCTGATAACACTTTGGTTGACTAAATGGAACGGTTGTGTGTTGCACCATATGAGGAATGGTGGATCCCTCTCAGCTGGCTCCCCGTCTCCTATCCCTGCTGGGATTTTACTCTCCTGCTGCTTCTCCCTTGTTTTTTTCTCTCCTTTGCATATGCCCTCAGTGGAAAAGAAATTCCAAAAATAGTGCTTTATCCTTTTTTAAAAATATACTTTAATAAGGTACCCCATTGCACTCACATATAAAAACCGCTTTTGTATGTACAATATAGCGTCCTCAGCACGCCAAACACCGCATGCCTTGTGTGAACCTGCCGTCCTCGAATGGCCAGTGATGTCATAGC